GGTTGCAAGCCTAGGAACAAGTGGTGTTGAATCTTTGTCACATTGCTCCTTCTAACTCAAACCTCAGTGGCTATTTGATGGGTGTACGGTTCCGGAAGTTTTTTCACCACTGAATGATCCACTTTTCAGGAGCACTCTTCCGGAACTGGACGATAGAGCCTCCCGTAGTTCGTGCTAGAGCAGTACCAGCTATTTCCGCTGCTGCTGCCATGTGCGAGTACGTTTATGTGTGTGTGCGGTGAATTCGGTGCTACAAATTTTAGATCAGTTCTTTTGATTTTTTTTTGCTAATTTTTACATTTCTGATGATTCAGAGTGTTCTCCATACTGCCATATTCTCACACATTCATTGTTGAGTTTTATGTTCCTTTCATTCATCCTGCCTTCGTTTTTTGTCTTCACGTTCATCACTGTCCATTGTCCACTTTCCCATTCAGAGACGATATAAAAAATAATGATTTTCTGAGCTGGAGAATGTTGTTAGGAAAGCTATATATATTGCTATATATGTGTGTGTATTTGTTTTGTATTTCCTCATCACGGATCACATAGAAAATGTCACTCGATGACGTCATTTGCTCAGTTCGTACATAATAAAACGTCTTTTATCACAATCTGCTCCTGTTTCAAGTGACAGATTCCTCTGTGCCAAACAGGTTCGGATGGTAGGATTAAGATGAGTTCAGCCTAACGTTCCGACAAATTCGTCGTTGTCAAAGACCTGACAGCGTTTTGAAACTTCAAGTGCTACCTATTCGCTCTACACGGATTACAATCAGCCAAATGCCTTTAAAGCAACAGTCCAGGCAGGGTTTCAACTACTTGGTCATTAGGCGGTCAAAACATGCCCCAGCCCAACTAAAGTTTATAGGAAATGTCTTTAAGTTCAAAACCTACCTCTAAAATGCGCTGGAAGGGGTCGAAGTCCTCTTGGAGGGGGCGGATCACCCATACCGAGGCGGATCGCCCAACATACGCTGTGCAGAGTCCGTGCTTGACTAGCGGTCGTTGCGGGACCGCCGCGCTGTATGAGGTCGATTCCATAAGAACGCAATTGAAGCGCTTCAATTTCGATTGCTGGCAAATAGTTATGTATTTGCAAGCATGCATGGCTATTTGCCAGCAGTTGCAATTGGAGCGCATGTACTACGGGCAGGTTCGGACAACTCGTCCAACACACGTCTCCCTAAACGGCAGGGGGAGTCCCTGTCTAAGCCCCTGCCCGACGTTTTTTTCTACTTTTTCTTTCTCCATTGACCAACTTCTCACCTGCAACGTCATTATAGGTGGTCCTTACCCGCGAATTCGTTCCTGGATTGTTGCTTTAACCAGAGAGTGGAAATTCGAGGAATGGGTCACTTCACCACAACGTCCACCAGTAGCGATTCCACTGTCCAGCCTAGGTCAGTGGGACAATCAAGACAATGCCCACGACACCTCCTAAGAAAGGCGGACATGGAGTTTGTTGCAGGACAAACCGCCAAGTCTTTGCTTTCCAAAAGTATGTTAAACAAAGCACACTGCCGCAATCGGGCCATGAGCTCTTACTTACCCTGCGCTTTTCGAGACAGGATTGCTTTTCGAGACAGGATTTCGAATGACCTATTGCACCGCCGTGAACATGCCTGTCACCTTAAAGGCACATCACGCGATCAGCTCGTTTGTAGAAAAATCTTTCCCCGTGCTATGCAATTGTTTTCGGTATATTTATACCACGCATGAATTCGCTGTCAGTTCCAACCCTTTACCGCTCTCCCTCTGCCCTGGGGAGGGCCGAGGTGGGAGGCACCATGTCGTTAAGCGGAATTTCTAATGTGAGTGAGCCATTTCAGTGAGCTTCAGGGTAGGGAAAGGGTTCTGGAGGACGTGCGCAACCTTTGTTCTCCTTGCGTCTCTTTACTCTCCTGGGCTTGGTCTTCGTGTCACTTACCAGCGGTTTTAAAAGCCCTGTTTAAATGATTACCCCTAAGGCCATAAACACCGCTAGGGGCTCACGGCTTCATCGTCGTACTCCTATTGAATACGCAACGTCCATCTGGTATTCAATCTGACTGACTCATGAATCTCCGCACCTAGAACGAAGGGGGGGTATTTCGACCATATTGAAAAGATGTTTTTCTCAGGGTGTTTTTGCAATTGGCCGGTCAATAGGCAAGTCTACTCCTACTTCCCAGAGTCACCATCTCTACTGTTGTGTGTGCCTTTGAAGTAACTCTATTCTCAAGGGCATACGTACCTTAGCCTCATCTGTGCTTTCCGCTTATGTTTTCACTCTGCACTTGTCGTTCCTCCGTTCCTACCTGGCTGCTAGTTGTCAAACCTGGATCGGGATATGCATGGCTTAGCGCGAAATTGATTCAGCGACTAACGCAAATGCAGGGCACCTCTGCCATTTTGATACATCCATTCAGCGCCTAGCGCAACACTTTTCTGCATTTCCCCAGGAATTGATAGAGAGGTGCTGCTGGCTAAAGTTTGAAATTTTCGAAGACCTAAAACAAACACGATGACGAGAACGGTAGAATCAGCAATACTGTCTTATCAGGATGTTATCGGATAGTGTTGATGTTTTTGTCGAGGGTTTGTTTCCTAACGGAGTAGTTTCCGCAATATTTGCGAATGAATCATTGCATCCGACTGGGTTTTGCATAAGTTGCATTTATAAAATACTACCTTTCGCGAAAAAGATCACCTACTGTGCTGACACTTAAAGGCGATGGACACAGGGGTTGGGAGGCGGAGTGGTTTTGATGACGTGGATGAGCGTCATTGGTGGAAAAGTTGTGAGTAAGGAGGTGATCCCAATCCATTCCCCGGCGCGATGAGCGATTTGGCCCGCTGAAGACGTTCGGTTGACCGTCATAATGAAGCGCATCGCCTACCTGTTCATCGCGATCCCTGCCTTTTAGTCGTGAGGACCGCAGATTTTTCTAAGCTAATGTGCACTCCACGGCCCAGAAATCGTGGTTATCATATTACCGTGTCAAATATCATCACACAAAACTATTGTATAAATTTTTAAATCGTAGAAAAAATTATTGTAAACAATATGTAAACTCTTGGTTTACAACATAAAGTTCAACAAACCCTTGTTTCAAGGAAGGAAACATTAAAAATAATAAGGTTCGTGTATGACGGAAAGGGCACACAGTTGCACGTACATATTTGTGCACGAAACTTCCGCGGTCAATTACGTCTTCTCTCAACAACGGAAGTAACTGCAGGGGAAATGCCGCCCGATCTCTACTTCCTTTTGCTTCAAGAAGTGCAATGGATTTAAAAGGGCGTTCCTTTATATGAACTTTTCCATGGGATTTCCCGAACTATGAAATCCGATCGATTGCAAAATTCTCCACATCAGTTTAGTGGAGCGGCTCAAGGAAGAATCGTCAGCGGTTCTTCGGACGAATAGTTTCGAGGATCGACCTATTCAAACCCATTACTAGCTGTTCATAGACGTTTTTGGCCAACATTTCATGAAGGCTAGTTTACGAAGTCTCCTCTGACATCACTTTCAGCCCTTAATTTTTTATAGAGGGAATCGGTACCTTACAGATTTGACCGACAGCTTCATGAAAGCGTTCCTTCTAACATGCCCTGTTTTCAGGCCCCAACGCCAAAAGAAGGAAAACAATTGCTGAGAATGGAAGGTTACAGCGAGACGCTTTCCATGAAAACTAGGGGTCACGTCGTGGAAACTCTGGAAAGTAGCTCCAATTTTGTCCAGAGGCTTCACAAGTCAAATTTTTACTGACCGCAAAATATTCAAAGCACCTACTAATAACTTTCGTGGAGCCTAAACCATATGGGTATATCTGGGTGGCGCCTGGGGGTGAAAAGTACAGCATCCCTACCTTCGAAGACTTTGAGCCTTAATTTTGAAGAGTTGAGCGCGCTTTGGTATCATTTTGATACTGTTTTGGTGATCGTTCGAGCCTTCACAGGCAAATGGGCGTTCAGCAGGTCAACGATCATTCGGATAATTATGAGTAAGAGCTGGAGATTAAGCAAGCCTTGTTGGCTAGATCCGGGAAGCTCCGCCTGCTTGACCTACGGTAGATAAAACGGGCGCTCGGGGTCCGCCCATAGCTGTGCGGCGGTGGGGCAGCCGGTGGCGCGCGATGTGCTGCTCTCTGGCGGTTTGTCTTCTACTGCTCATACTGCCGCCAAGTAGCCCGGCCCCAATGGTCACCGAGAACTTCGACGAGATTGTGGTTCGTGGTGACAGTACTATTCTTCTCTTCCTGATAAAAATGCCTTTCAAATTGCTTCGTATGAAGAGACCATTCGCCTTCTCTACCTCATGGCTTCTCCCTGTTAAGGTTCCTCCTATGCTCAGAAAACCAGTCCCCATAAAGTATTTTAGTTACAGTATTTCCGAGTGAGTGGAAATGTAGCGGAGACCCGGAACGAAATGCAGAAATCAGGGCGCTGAATCTATTGAGTGGCTGTGTCGTCGTCAGGTTTCGTGACCATGATCGACTACCCTGGTTGATTTTGGAGGTTCTACTTTCACTTACCAACGTCGATCGAGTCCATTCGATTCCGCCACGACCATCATCGTGGTCGATCCGCTGTTTATCGTTTGACGTATTGACCTGTTCAGATCTTGACTGTTTACAGTCGACTCATTGCCTTCTACGACAAATTGTAACCCGAAACATCAGAAATCAATCACCGTTTTCCCCCGATGGCATCAATAGCCGGCCATTTGTGGCTGGTTACTCGATCCCAACTCCGAGCACGTCTTCTCGTTCACTCTCTTCACCTTTCATTCTCACGCACTTCGCGTTTCATCGCCATAATGTGGACAGAAAAACTGCTCTCTTTTGTCAAGTGCGTGATTCTCAGATTTCTCCCATCATTCACATGATCCAATTTATCTACACACACACTCACGTCGTTGTGTCTCTCCGGAAATCGAGGCCATTCACAGCTGTCTCCAGCTGATTACCTCGTCCTCTGTGACGTTCTCGTCGGATTATCCTTGGCCGTTCACGTGAACTGAGAAGCTTTTTGATCACCACGTAGTTCTTTTTCTTCACAGAACAACATAAAAGCGATGAAGTTTACAGTAGTTGAGTGATCGACTTTTCATTACACTGAGACACTCCACAACACTGGTCGAGAGAAAGACAGAGAGAGAGACATCGTCATGGCCTGCATTGATGAAAAGAGACGATTTGTTCGATACACGTTTCCTTTGGGTCTAGTTATCTGCCGTGAATTTATCTTCTAGTCCATTTTCTCGCCGCAACTTTGAACCATCAAATGACGTCTTCATCGAGCTAACGCGATCATCACAAAATCCTTCCATTGATCAGTCTTTTTGGCTTTACGGTAGCCGTCATTAGGGTAAACGATGGTTTGCATGTAACATAATACTGTTATTTACTAAAGCGGTGCTAAACCTTTAAAATGACTTGCTTTACTGCCGCGATGAAAGAGAGCCAGCTTATTCGCTGATGCCACAAAGATAAGCCGCTTTTTGACGAATTTGCTTCGTAGATGCTCATCATGAGGGAAGCCGATAGTGCTTGCTCATCCTCTCGCACCCTACAAAATCCCTTTTAGCGGCATTGGGAACGACCGTCAGTAATCGAAAGTGACTTGACGTTGCCAAAAACGGCAGTTATTCCCAAATCAACCTGTGGCGGGATGAGAATCCTTTCGCCTCTGTAAAATGGACGCTATCACAACATACGGGGGCATTCGTAAGGACTAACCCTAGCAGGAGGCGAAATTTTGGGGAGAACAAAAATGGCCGATCACCCCGGAGTCTCTCCTCCCTCGCCTAAGGCTTAGTCTCGTTTTACACAAACAGCGGACATGTTTCACAAGATTCTAAATGATGCCACTACAATGCCCCCTTATCTTGCAATAGTGCTGTAAAATGTATTTTCTCGCCACAATCTTTGAACCATCATGTGACGTCTTCATCGGGCTTACCCGATCATCAGAAAATCCTTCCATTAGTCAGCCTTTTGTTTACGGTAGCCGCCCGCAATGAATTTTTGCATGTAACCATAATCTGTTATTACCTAAAGGGTGCTAAAATTTAAAATTGACTTGCTCTACTCCGCGACTGAAGAGAGCCAGCTTATTTGTTTCTGCACAAAGCAATTCGCTCCATCGAAGATGCTCTTCTGCAAGATGCGACAGTCTGCTCATCTTCGATGCCCTTACGTTGAGAAGATCACCCAGTAATCGAGAGTGTGACTTGACGTTGCCAAAAACACCGGTTCTTTCCCAACAGACCCGTAGCGGAATGAGAATCCATTTCGTCTTTGTAAAATGGACGCTACCACAATATACGGGGGCATCCTCTAGGACTAAGCCTAGCAGGAGGCGAAATTTCGGAGAGAACAAAATGGCCGACTCACTCTGGAGTCTCTCTTCTCCCCCCCTGCCCCTGGAGGGTAGTCTCGTTTTGAACAGGAGGGAAATTTGAATCATGCACTTACTGTCCGAGTAGCGCCGGTAAAATGTATTTTCTCGCCACAATTTTGAACCATCAAGTGACGTCTTTCATCGTGCTTACCCGATCATCAGAAAATCCTTCCATTAGTCAGCCTTTTGGTTTACGGTAGCCGCCCGGAAAAAATGATTTGGGCATGTATCAATAACCCGCTATCAATTTAATGATGCTGAAATTGACTTGCTCTTTTCCGCGACTGAAGAGCGCCAGCTTACTTGTAGATGCTCAAAGAATACCGCTTTGATGGAATTCGCTGGTTGAAGCATGCTTTCTCTGCCAGGACGCAATAGTGCTGCTTATCTTCAAACCCTACAGTAATACGTTTAGCACCGTTTGAGAAGATCATCCGGTTATTGAGAGTGTGACTTGACGTTGCCAAAAACACCGGTTCTTTCCAGACAGGCCCGTAACGGAATGAGAATCCATTTCGCCTTTGTAACATACAAAAAACTCTCAAAGGTTTTTGCTCTCAGAAGAGCTACCAGTTGCCGGTATAAACAGAACCGATCACTTATGACGGGGTGTTTTTCAGCAATACCTGCATCGTTTCGGTTATCTGAAACAGCCCGGCGCCCAGCTTACACGAATTTCGCGCTGGACTTCGATTGTTCCAGGTAGGATGGAAAGTCTTATCTGAAGGTCAAGGAGCAATAAGCACAAACATTTCACTTACAGGAGTAGTAGGCGTGGAGCCGACTGGTGAACTGACGCCCGAGACCGTGGAAGCCACCCAAAGAAACGTTTGCGCTCAGAAGGACACAAGGAAGGATACTGGCAGATCGAAACGATTTGGTTAGTTTGTAGTACTGCGTAGTCCTGCGCTGAAGAACTCTGCGCTTTCCAGCTCTTTCCGGCACATCAAAATGGGACAAGAAACACTTTACTGGCCTGCACGAGCTGTCCCTCAAGTGGTTCGTCTCCGATACACCAACGACATCCCAAAGGCGATTATTCGGTGAGATCATTTGATAAGGGCATTATTCGCCATAATCCTGCCTAAAATCGTGGCGCGATTTTAGCTCGACAATCCAGAAGGCTTTCCAGCTTTGGGCCAAGCAGGCTAATGACGAAACCTGCCTCAAGGTTATGTGCTTTGCTGATAAACGGATCACACTTTGAAAGGCCTCAGCGATTTGTGATCGCCCAAGAAATGGCATGGCCTTCTCAGGGCTGGTCAGTTGACTGCTTTACGTCGGCAGATCGGTCAAAGACCGTAAACCGTCATCGGTGATGCAAACGGGCAGCAATCGTAAACAAATTGTTTACATTTTAAGCCCCCTAATCAAGTGTTTGCTCGGGCATGTTTGAATCACATCCGCTGGCTAACCGATTATCGCGGAAGTGAACGTCATAAGTGTTCCGCGTTTTCCAGGTGACTTTCCACTTTGAAGAGGCCGCATCACAAGACGAAGCTGACATCAACATTCTGTGGGCCGAAGGAGCTCATGGGGATCAGTACGAGGTGGGTTGAGCTCATCCCGGCCGATTTACTCCAGCCAGCTCAATTCAGGGTCTATTTCAGTTCGATGGCGCTTCGGCAAAGAAAAACATCCTGGCGCATACGTTCTTTCCCGGTCATTCGGAACCGCTCAACGGTGACATCCACTTCGACGATGCCGAGACCTGGGAGACTGACCTGTCGGCGGCCACCAACCAGTCAGTGTCTACACTTATTGGCTTTCTTGGGAATAAGGCTGACACGCTGGTGCACCACCAAGCCTCGTTTGGATCTAGTCACAATTCGTTTCTTTCTACTGGAATAATGGGGAAATGAGGGAAAAACTACAAATAATGGCGAAACCAAAGGGTAACTCCGAAAGCATGACCTGTGGTTTGCGAACTGACGGTAGAAGATAAAAGTTTCTTCGGGAGTGGCGAGGCGAATTTTTATTTGGTTGTGTAAGTTATGATACGAGCAGATGAATTACTCCAAATTAAGAAAAGCGTACCTAATCTACTTCGTTATAGGATAAAAGGATAAAGGATAAAGCATTTGCCGTTGATCAATCCCTTTTTGGGATGCGGCACGCATTCTACTTCCATTTGTACATTCGCAGTGGCGTTTGAATGCGATGTGGCCTATACAATGACTTGCGGGGGCCAGCCGATGTACAAGTCAGTGTTTTTATCCTCCCAGACAAGTCTGGTACCAATTAACCGACCCCGGAGGGATGGAAGGCTTGGTTGGCCCGGGCGACTCACGACCCAGGATTTGATCCCCGGACCGCTCGCGTGGTAAGCGCGCCACTTGCCCTACACCCCTTTCGCCACTTCGTTTAAGATAGGCTGTGATAAATTCAGGTGCTAGCGCTGATCTTGAGCCTGATCCATCCAGGACACATTTCCAACTCCGTCTACCAAAATTTCAAAATTGCGTCACCAGGGGGGGGGGGGAACTGAACAGTAGAGGACCGTTGAAACTGACCAATTTCGCCAAATACAGCATCTTTCGTGAATTTCACTCGAATTTTTTCAAATTTTCCAAAAATCCCTCTATCATTCATTTTGCCAGTTACAGTCCCCCGGTCGAGGTCTTCCTGTAGTGCCGATTCTACTGCACCATTTAGATGCGGTCAAAAGTCTTTCGCCGAAAACACGATTTTGTTTCCGCGCCTTTGGTTTTCCTCGCCCCCGCCAGTCCCTTTAGGTTTGGATATGCTATGCCCTCCATTTCTTTGGAATGACTGAGTTTCTAAGGATCCGAAGCACGACGAAAAAGGATTATAGTAGTTACCAGCGCACCCTGAGGGCAAGACCCAACGTTTCCTAATAAAGGCATACCCCAAAATCAAACTGGCGTGCTTCTTGTGCACGATTCGTGAGGAGTGAATGGACCCAGTTAGTAAGGAAGAAGGAGAAATCTGTTTGAAGAACGGCCTGACGGAGGTTAACGAGCTTGCATAGTTCTTCAGTAAAGTAAGATGTGCCCTAAAGGTAATAAGAGACTTAGCGCGGAGAGAAGAGGATGAGACAAGACAGCGTAGGAGGTGAGAGGGCTTAAGAACATTTCGCAGCGGCTGCAGCTTACTTTGTAAGGGCTCTAACGCACTTGTCGGGGAATTTCCACACACGAGAGTGTTACATCTGTAGATGCCCGCCAAGGTTCTATCCTACAAACTTAAGTAAGTAGCTCACACGACTTCTTCCTAGTCTATGCCTTTAAGTCTTACACTTTTTCAGCCCTCCTTCTCTCTTCCTCTCTCGTTTCACGGCCTGTCTTGCACCGTACCGAAAGCTGACAAAAGAAATTTGACTTTTAACTTCTATTCTGTTGAAAAGGACCACGAACCATTGGGGCTCATTCAACCCCTTTTTAGGATATGCAACATCCCACAGGTTTTCAGAATCGTTGTGGCTTTCTGAGTGCCGCTTGGCCTACACAGTACGTTACGGAGTATGCCGATGTATATCCAGCGTTTTTTATCCTCCTGGGCAGCCTGGTAATACCCAACGGAGTAGACAGGGGCCTTGTTATCCTGGGCGGAATTTGACCCGAGATTCGCCCTTTTAACCGTGCTTGGCTTAGTGACGCTTGCTACTACACCATTTCAACACCAATAGGGCCATACGCAAAACAAATACGTGATGTTACGGTGGCCTCGGAGGCCGATCTCTCAATGCATACAGTAGTCTGTTCATGAGTAACTGTGCACTTTTCGTGGTGCAACCGGATGGATCATTTCGCGATGATCAATTATCTTTTGAGCCATTGGCGCCATTTGATGAACCCCGTCAGGTGTCTGGCGGTAGTTCGGCGCCGTATCAAATTTCACCACATTCCATTTCCGAATTTTTCAGTGATCGTCGATTTTTCCCATACGTGCTGGCACACGAGATCGGCCACGCGTTGGGTCTGCAACATGCGAAGAAGCAGGAGGCCATTATGTATCCGTACTACAAAAATACTCCCTTGGATGAGATCAAACTCGACCTGGACGATAAATGCGCCATTAACTGGAATTACGGTAGGTTATCGTACATTCCTTTAGAGGTTGTATTTGCCTTGAATAAGTTGGAATGATGACTCGGCTATGAGAGCTTGAAAAAAGTCTCTCCTGAAAATTTGTCAAAATTCAATTCGCTTTACAAACTTTACCCTACAATTTCCGAGAAATCATAACGACTAAGACTAGATTCCTACTGTTATTTTCGAACAATGCTTCTTGCACGTTGCTTTCAAGGATTTCTTTTTGCTTCTAGTAGGAAGTGTTCAAACTACATTCATTCGAATTTCATTACAATTACCCACGTTCGCCTTTCAGTAAATCTTAGCATGGTTTGTAGTTTTCAGAAAGGTCCACTGAAACCTCAGCCTAGATGGTGGCGATAACCTTTATTCAAGGTTAGAACCATTTGGTTTATGGGACTGTTCTTAAAGTTTGAAATAGTGTTTGAAGATGAATCGCCCTTATCCTTG